AGCTGCCACCTGCAGACCACACTGTGACATGCCATGTTCAGAAATGTAATGATTAATGAGATGCATTAAAATATCACAGCACCATTTGCTAGGATTTGCTTGGAGGCAGGTGCACACGCATAAGGTGACACGATCCTTTTGTCGTGAAGAATACTGGGTTTTCTGTATTAAGTCCATGTCCCAGAATGCCTTTGCTGAAGTGTGGTCTTGAGGGGCTGTTGCTGGATATGGACACCAGCTTCGGTATGACCAGCTCTGGCAAGGATCTGGACCCTTCAAAACGCTGCACAAGGGATCCAAGCAGCGGGTTTGTACTGGCTCCTATAGTGCCAGCAACGGGACTTGTGGAGAAGCCATAGGTTTTCCTGTGACTCCTGCCCCCGTCAGCCACTACGGTCCCCACTCTGTTTGGGTGAGGGGGTGCAGTGCCCGGTGAGGGGGCTGAGGGCCCTACTGAGTCTATGGGTTAGAGTGTGCGGCACTGCATCCTGACGGCCAATTGTGGCTCTGGGCAAGCCTCTCTGAACTTGGTTTTCCTATTTGTGAAGCTAGGTCTGGGCCAGGAGACTAACCCTAAGGGCCCTCCCGGCCCAAAGCCAGAGGATCCACTGGGAGGGGTGGGAATGCATACGGGGGCTGCTTCATGAAGCGCTCTGGGTTTCATTGCACCCTGGAGGCTTTTATAGCACACGAGTGCCTCAACTGCCCCTCTTACATCCCCTTGGCTCCATGAACCCCATGATCTCCTGAGCAACAGACACCTAGAAGAGGGTAGGTCAGCCATGTTCCCACCTCCTGCCCAGCATCTGTCCACTTGCCTGTGACCCCAGCCTGCTGGAAAGCAGCTCACCTGAAGACAGGTTCACAGGTGTGAGTTCAGCATGGAACATCGTGTTGGCTGTCCGTAGGGCTGGCATACCCTGAGGGGCCCAACTATGTGTAGGTCAAGCCTGGTTCGTGCCCGAATGTGAGCATGTTTCAACTGCATGGCAGTTGTTAGAATTTGCAACTATGCCCTAAGAAAAGGTTCCTGGCTGAGAAGGAAACCACTCTCTGCTGAGCAGAGAAATACCTAAGCAGAGCTGGGAAACAGAACGGTGTCCTTCACCGGTGCTGGCCTGTCAGGTTGAATATGGACCCAGTTGTGGTGCTACTGCAACTCTCCTTCCAAACAGACACCACCAGCAGACCTTCAGTAATGGAAACCACGTAGGCACACAACACATTACAAAATTAGGATATAGTTACGTGTAGCTAAATTGGAAATTAGGCTCTGAACACCTACAAGAGCATCTGTTGCTTCTGAAGGGTCTTCCCTTTGGCTAATGGAGGGAGCAGAAAACATACAGACCTGGATTCTCAGAGACCTTCCTGAATGAAGACTGATCAGCAGGGTTGGAGAAAGGCACCCATGGTGGGGAGCTGGCCCAGCCAACTGAAACCTATGCAGGCTCAGCCTCACTAACTTACAGGGTGTGGAACATGTCAAGAGCAGACCGTGTGTAAAATCCAAGCATGGGCTCAGGACTGTGATCACTGATCCCGCCAGCGGTCCCAGCTGTGGCGATAAGATTGAGCAGTTAAACTGAAGACAGAGACAGAGAAGTGCTTTGACTGTGATAACTAGAATTCAGGGAAATAGCAAGGCTGGACTGTGAAATTTTGGTGTGAAGTCCTAAGTATGCACCTGCTTTGTGAAGAAGGGTCAGCTTGAGGGACACAGTACTACACCTGTTCTTTCTTTCAGGGTTCTTACCCATGTCTTCTCTTCCATATAGTTAGCAGTGGACTGATTCAACAGCTTTCCTTTAAATGCAAGCCTTGGGCAGGAGGCAGTGGCCTCAGGGCCCAGGTTGCTCTATGAGGGGCCTCTTCCATGGCTGGCTCTTGGCTGGAGTCTGGGAACTTGGCTTCTGGCATGTCACTAGCAGAGGCAACTCAGCTTTCTAGGCTACATATGTAAGCAGTGTGGTGTGTGCCAGGCACCTGTACTCACCCTGAGGGCCTGCAGGATTTGCTCCTGTGGCCATTCTGTGGGTAGAGAACACCTGTGGCTAGTTCGGGTAAGAACCCTGAGGAGAACTGAGCTAGCCTCCCTGCATGTAAAGTGAGCATCTTGCTGTGTTTTGCTGCAGGAGGAGGGGAACAGGTCTTTTGTGTTCAAAAGACCCTTCAAAGCAGCAACTTTGAACCCTTTCCCTGGACCTCGCAGACCCTGTCCACTATGGCTTTTGTCCTTGCAGCCCTGTCAGATGACTTGCTGCATAGAGGAACCATGTTCAGGAAAGCTATACCTCTGTGTCCTGAGTCCTGGCCTGTTCTTCATGGTGGGTAGCAATGGGGTCCTGCTTGCCCACAAGGGTAGTTAATCCAGCTGGTCACTTACCTTAGCAGGCAGAAATTACACATTGTTGTTCAACAATGTCTAGATCAAACTAGATACTGAAGTGATTGTCTGGAGATTCATATACTGGGCCCTGATAGCTGACCAATTCATAGTGCCACATGTAACGGGCAGGAGCTAGTTGTCAGACTCTGATGACACAGACAGGAAAGGAATACATTTGTGGCCCTGAGAAGGGTAGTTCTAGCTCCTTGTGGTCACACTTGAGGTGCCTGGCAACGTCTGGGAGGAAGTGTCAGTGAGATCTGTGTTTCTGAAAGTCTAGACTGATGTGGATCCTGGAATGGCCACAGTGTAATTAGGCTGTGAGCATAAGTCCCATGGGCAAGAGCTGAGGGTGTCAGACTTGACAACGGTACCATGGAGGGCCCAGGTGAGGTGTCCTAGAATCAGAAAGGATGCTTGGGGTGCTGGCGTGGTTGGGGCAGTGCCTCCCATGAGCTGGATGGGAGGTGTCCAATGCTGCCCATCACTTGCATCTGTCTTCTTAGGGTCTACCTTCCTGCCTCCCAAGGTTCATCCTCCCATCTTCCCACACCATTCCCTGTTTAAGCCACATCCTGCTCTGCCCTAGGTTGACCTCAACACACTGAGCAAGGCTTCCTCCTCTGGAGCTTCCCAGTCTGGAGACTGTCCCTTCTGACCCCTTCTCCAAGTTGAGGGCAGCACTTGTATTGTTGGCCTAAGGGTCACACTAGGTTCCGCGTAGTGTCTAACCCACAAAGGCTAAGGTAGGACTAAAGGGTAGGAACTGAGTCACATTCAACTTGCAGCAGTGCCTGCATGAGAGATGGCAGAAAGGCCCTGAATCAGCTTGATGAGGTCTGGGAGAAGCCTGCTGTGGAACCCAAGCCCTTGGTACTTCCTAGAGGTGGTGGACCTGCTGGTACACAGCCTCACAGTCCCACAACTTGCTCAACTCCTTACACCCCATAAAAGCCACAGTGGTGATGTTGGCTGAGGCCACCCACAAACAGGACACACAGGTTACCTGCTCTTTCCCTGTCCATAGAGCCAGAGGCAAATGCAGAGATTTCCAAACACAGGAAGGAACAAGACACATGTCTCGCTGCTGTAGGGAAGATCTCTCCACAGAGACAAGCTGTGCAATGATGCGCCACTGTGATCAGGCTGGTAGTTCTTCACTCCTCTTGCTCTAAAGTATCAGTGCATTTCTAGAGATGGTGTTTCTTTCCCTGAACATTTAATGATTTTTGAAAATTAAATTACACACTCTTAAATAAACAATAGCCAAGGATGAAATTTAAAGAAAATACTTGAGATAAATGAAAAAGCCACACAACACACTTTGGGATAGAGCAATGCAGCTCAGAGGGAAATTCAGCACTGTAAACGTCTATATAATAAAGGAGGAAGTTTTCAAATCAATCATCTAATTTTTATACTATAAAGCACCAAAAAAAGAAGAGCAAACTAAACCCAAAGCTGGTGGAAGAAGGGACATCATAAGGATCAGAGCAGAGGTAAAATAGAAAATAGAAAAAAACAGAGAAAACAGATAAACCAAAGTGGGTTCTTTAAAAAGATCAACAAAACTGGCAAATCTTTCCTAGACTGCCTAAGGAAAAGAGAAGATTAACACTGATTTGGAGGTTCTAGCCAAAGCAGTTAGGCAGGAGGAAGAAATGGAAAGTACCCAGACTGATATGGAAGCCCTATGCACAGATGATGTGATCATATATGTACAGGAAATCTTGAAGAATTAACTGAAAACTACTGTGTCTAAGAAAGCAATTCAGCAAAGCTGCAGGATACAAGATCAACACACAAAAATCAATTATATTGCTATACATAAGCAATGAATAATCAGAAATGAAAAGTAGATCCCATTTATGTAACATTATAAAGAAAAACCAGGAAAAACTTAGCCAAGGGAGTGTAAGATTTGCGTGCTGCAAAATTACAAAGCATTTCAGGAGGAAATTAAAGACCTTAGTAAACGAGAAGGCCTATTCTTATAGAACAGAAGAGTTAGTCCTGTGAAAACAGTAATACTTTTACTGTGGTTCCCATGTAGGACCCTGGCAGATTGCCTAAGGCCTGCGTGGGTTACCCTGGGTCCAGCTGGTTACTGATATCAGGAAGTAAACCAAAGTCACAATCACCCACACTTCAGCACAACTACTGCAGAGGGAACAGAGGGTCTCATGCCAGTAACTGGGCAGCTGGGGAGAACGTGCCCAGTGTATGGACACACATGTCTCAGAGCAGCTGGGCTCCAGTACAGAAGTGATCTCCCGTTTACCAGCACACTGCTCCTTAGCCCCATTCCAGGACCCTGCCCTTACCCCAGCTTCACCCCCTACCCCACCTGGTCTCACCCAGAACTTTGCCTTGCCTTCCCCGTGCTGTCCCTATCCTCATCCCTGAACATTGTTCCTTAATCTCCATCTCTAGACATCCCCCACCGCACGCTGCCCCAAGCCCCAGCTCCCTGCAGCTCCCGGACCACCTATGAGGGTCAGATTATTCTCAGGCACAGAGCTGACTGGTAAAAAAATTTGCCAAAACCTGTAAAGGGTGTGTTCAGGGCAGGGGGTCCTGGGATCCAGGGAATGGAGGGGGGCTTGGGTACCTGAGCAGGGGCTTCTTGGGGAACGGTGGCTGGTCTGCGCCTGGGCATGGCAGGGCCTTCTTGGTCACTTGCTTGTAGATGTTCCTGGCGGTCACTCCAATCCACAGCATGGTGGAGAGTGTGGAGTAATGCAGCACGATGCCCACCTGGGAGGGGAGAGTCATCAGCCAGGCCCACCTCTGCCACCACCTGCCCCAGAGTCGCTGACTTGCAGAGCGTAGCCCAGCCTTCTGCAAGCCTCAGTGGGCTGAGCCCCAGCAGCCTCTCTACAGCCCTTTAGTGACAAGAAATAAGACTAGTAGGAAGATGGAGGGACACTCCACAGGAGTGGCAAAGACCCTCGAACTGCTGTGTTTTGCTCTCCATCTGCAAGAGGTGGCGTGGAGTCAGCGAGGAGCCCAAGGGTCTGCGTACTGGTGTCCAAGTGGTGTCCATGCCATTCCCCCATGTGGGCCCTGTGTGCACACCCCTCCCTGTGAGCCCCCGCCTGCAGGTCCACCAAGTGGAAGGAGGGCGCTGCTGTGCAGCAGAGCGCGCCCAATGTGCCATTATCTGTGTCATTTCATGTAGGAAAAAGTACTACAGGGATGGGCTCGGAGGACCCAACCATGCATGTCAGAGTGACTCATTACTATGGAAACAGCCAAGTTAAGTCCCATCCACAGCACTTAGGCGCTAGCTAATTATGCATTCCACGCTCCTTCATCTCCATCTGATTCCATAAAACGAGGTTACCTTAGAGGTAATAACCTGACATTTCAAAATGACAAGTAAAATACTGTTATAATTGGAAAGGACATAAATGTTTAAGGAATACAGAGATTCCCTGAATGAAGTTAACATTGCACCATTACAATGATTTATCAAATCCAGAGTTCAATTTTTACTTATGAGCAAACTCTGCAATGATTGTTGAGGATTTTGTAGGGTGCAAAGATCAAAAAACTGTTTATGGTTTTGAATGCGCTCTCCATGCAGAGCTCCTGTGTCCTGTGAGTTGTCTTTTCCTTGGCTCTCCTCACCCTCAGCTTGGGGGTGCTTGTGTGGGCCTCTGAGCACACAGGCCTTACCCTGGATTGCCTGAGAGCGGGAGGTGCCAGAACCTGCCAATGAGACCTCTCTGCATTGGAAAGCAGTTGGGGCAAAGGTGACCAAGCTGGCCTGGCCCTGAGTTGAAGGAAGGTCCCTCTTTCTTTTCAGGAATCTGTAGGGTGGCTATCATTATTGTGTACAAACAGAAGCATCAGGAGGCCTATCCTAAGAAGAAGCCTGATCCTCAGCTTTGGTACACTGACTCAGGGCCTAGAGGAGGGTGGGGAATGTTGCCAAGAGGACAGTAATTGAGCTGGGATGTCGGCTTTTTCCTCCTCTGCCTAAGCCTTGCTTAAGTGTGTGTAGGTTTGGGGTCACAAGAAGGTATAAATGGCAGAATTCTGTCTCCCAAACACCCACTTTAGGCTAGACACACGAGGAGGTCACAGGGATGCTGTGCTGGCTTCCAGAGAGCACTCTACTGCAGTGAAGAAAGGAGGCGGCAAGCAGGCTGCCCTCCCTCGCTTCCAGACCCAGGGCCAGTGCTGACGCACATTCATTATGTGGGATCATCGGCAGCCGTCTGTTTTTGTTTATGATGTCACTTAGTACTTTAATGAGACTCACGGTCATCTTTCTGTTGCCATAACAACTGTCTGTTCTCTCCAGCCATCCAGAGTTCTGGACCACTTTTCCTGTTTGTTCTGCTGTGATGCTGAGCCACAGGAGGAAGGGCCTGGAAGTGGTGGTCACAGGTTGTTGGTAGAGGAGGAGGCAGCTCTAGCTTTCAACAATCTGGCTTTTATTTTGCTTCTCCTCAGGGGTCTCCCTCTCAGCATTTGATGGATGTAGATGCTGTGATGGGTGAACTGGGCCTGCTTTCCTCCATACCTGCCAGGCTACAGATCAGAAACTGCCTGGGCTCTGGCCTACAAGCCGTCAGTGGTAACAGACACTCACATTTCTGTCCACAGGCATAGCGGGGTTAAACATCTAGGTGTGATGGGAATTATTACCTCGGGGCTTGGCAGATTCATTTAGAGCTGCAGTCCTTAGCCCCTGTTGCCTCTGTTGACCTGAGCCTGACTCTGCTCCTACTATTAGCAGCTCAGCATCTTCCAGTGCACTGATGACTTGTTGCTGTGTTTGTGCACACCCCCACCCCAGTGGTGGCTCCATACTGCAAGCCCAGTGGGTGTGTTTCTGACTGTTCTGTGCACCCACAGCAAGTCCCAGTACCAGGTTGTTATGTTTGCCAAGTGAGTGGGTGAGTGAGTGGCCTGGTATGTTCTGGAAATCAGGAGATCAAGACAGCATCTGAAGGGCCACAATCTTTCCTATGCCACCAAGCAGAGGTCATTCTGTCTGATGGGGATCTCGAGGGTTGTCACAATGGATTGAACATTTCCCATGTTAGCATGAGCTCCTTTAGAGAGGTGAACTCTGCAGGTCCTTCCAGACCCGCCCTCGCGCCCTCCTCCTTACCAAACATCTCTGCTGGCCTTCATGTGGCCTTTGAACTCCATGGGACACTTGGCCTCCAGGAGCCTTGTCTGAGCTGGTCAGAGCATGGGGACAGTCACAGCTTTGATGCAGGCTCCTAGGAGGGTTTGTCTGAAATCCTGAGGTGATTCCAGTGGGCTGTATGGCTGGCCGGTCCTAGCTGTAGAGCTCCTGGTAGCAAAGTGCAGTCATAAAAATAACGACCCACTTGATTGTTTTTCAGATAGCTCCCAGGCAGGCATTTACAGCAAGGCATAAATGGGGCTTCCTGTGCTCCCTGTGGTTGTTTCCAGCTCGTGAGAGTCTGGAAGGCAGAAACTATCTGCCCCTCCCCTCAGCCTCCCTTCATGCTTGTGCCGCCAACTGTTCTGCAGACTGATGCCTCAGCGGGGTTTGGACATGACATGCAGGCGCACATTCCAGGCATCTTCTGATGCCCACGGCTCTGGGGCTGTAGCAGTGCCTCCCAGACATGGGCAACTGGCTCATACTCCCAGCCTCAACTTGGATCATCTGGGAAAGTATGGAGCCCCAGGACTGTGCCAGGCCAGCGTCAGGTGGCTCCCTACACAGGGAGGGAGGCATGTGCTCCCAGCCTGGATTTTCCCTGAGGCACCTCTGTGGGAAGGGCTTCTTGCCCACAGACACTTCAAGGTGAGTCTTGCCTATGGCCATCTCTGCAGGTGAAGAAGTCAGGGGGTGGTTAATTGTCATTGACATCAGTATGGGGTCACACAGGCCCAAGGTAGCTGGGTGAAGGCTGCATCGGTGGCTGTCAATAGATTTTGGTTGAGTTCACAATAACAAAGGGGCAAAGAAGCAGGATAGTGCCTGAGGATGACATGAGCCCAGTCAGATACTGGCCCATGAAGTGACGGAAACTGCAGGAGTCTTTGGTAAGTTTCCCTGGGTCCCTGGTCCTGGTCTCACCTGTGGGCACAGAGCCAGCCTGGGGGCTGGATGTGCATACAGGTGCTACCCTGGAACTATAGCTGGGCTCTCCTCCTGGGTCCAGAACCACAGCCCAATGGGAGCAAGACTAGGCTTGGTTTTCATGGGAGGGTCTCTACCATGGGTTCTGCCACACGCCAGAGGTATTTTATATTTCCTTCTTTTAAACCAAACTAAATCACCAGTGTAAGGAAGACCCATTTGTCAGCTCTCAGATCCTTCCAAGATCTCCCTTTCCCTGAGATAGGACAGAATTGCCAAGGGTACTGCCCACTGAGGACAATCTGGCAACCTCCAAATGCCACAGCCCCTCCTTCTGATGGCAAGGTAAGGTTGGCCTCTAAGAGGCTTCACTTGGCCCCTCCTGATCCTGCCCTGCCGGTTTCTTCAGGAAAAGCAGCTGTGCCCAATTCTCAGGAAGGTCACCATTTGCTGAACAGTAAATGCCTAGATCAGCAGTGGTGAATCTGTGGCACACGTGCCGCAGTGGGCTTTTTTCTATCATTCAAAGCTCTAAAAGGTTCACCATCGCTGGAGCTGCATATCACGTAGGTCTCAGGACAAGCTGGTCCAATTGAAAATAAAATGTTTTATACAATCAAATGCTGAGAAAAACAATTGGCTTCAGATGGAGTGAAACTGTAATAGAGACCTGCTAGATACGTGCCTAACTTCATAAGCAACAGCTGAGCGAATACTAAAGTATTAGTTCATGAACAAGACAGTTAGCACACATTTCCCCTTTGGTAGGAATGTTGATAAACACTCATTTTTGTGGCCCAGTGAGACACAGACAGCACTCACCGCCTGGCACAGGATCGGGTATTTGGTGCGGTTGATGCCACCTGCGAACACAGTGAAGGTCAGAGCTGCATGGAAGCAGAAGTTCAGGAGTGTGTGCCGGCCTTTCCTGCTGATCCGGATGGCACTGTGGGAAATGGGGATTTCACATTAGGAACCAGCAGTTCAAGGAACAGCATGGAAACAGGCACTCTTGTCCAAATGCAAAGCTCTGTTCACAGCAGGAACAGCGAGCCCTTAGAGGGCCTGGGAGCAACATGTCCAAAGGACCAGATCATGGGGCAGAGAGATGACTGTGCTGTGTGTAGCTTGGTGGGCTGCCATTGGACAGCTGTGGGTAGATCACCTTAGAGTGCTGTGCCTGGTAGGGCTTTTGCAGACTCTTGGCTAAATTGATCATTTAACAGTGAAAGTGTTAAGGCCCCGAGACTATACCTTATCCACAGTCTCAGTGATAGAAGTCATGCCCCTGACTCCCAGAAGGCATTCTGCCCTCTCTGCATAGATGTCTGCTCCTCAGGAAGATGGGGATGGCTATGTAACTGTGAGCATGACTCCAGGAATCGCAGTGCCTACGGCTTGGACTGGGACATTGTCTATGGCTAAGAACATCACCATGGTCAGAAACATGTCTAAGGTTCTGCCCAGCTGGCCATGGCTAGAACTGATATTGATTAACTTATAACTATGACCTCATCATAACCTTGAACAGGTCCAGGTTTCTTCCCATAATCACAGCTTCTATGGTCTAAATGTACACATTACTCCCAAATTCATATGTTGAAACTTAAATGCCAGTGTGACAGTATTGGGAAATTAGGTGTTGGAGTAGAGCCCTTATAACTGGGATTAGTGTTTTTGTAAGAGACCTCGGAAGGCTGCCTTGCCCATTTCACCATGTGAGGTCAGAGGGTAAAGGAATGGCACCAGGTACCAGGAAAAGGCCCTTACCAGAAACTAAATCTGATGGCACCTTGTTCTGGACTTAGGTGCCAAACTCCAGAACTGTGAGAACTCGATTTCCATCCTACACAATTGTTCATAAACCTCGCAGTGTGTAGTAATTTTTTATAGCAGCCCAAACAGGCTAAGACAACAGCTTTGCACTCTCCTAGACCTCTCTTACGAATGTGGCCTTGGACCTGCTCACCCCCGCCTTACGACCATGGCCTCCGGTGAGCCTGAGCTTCTTACCATGACCTAAGTCTTGATACACTCAAGCTTTTTGCCATGCCTGTGCTGACGGCCAAGGTCTGGGCATTACCCATGACTTTGATTATGGGTTGGACTGTGGCTGTGGCTGGGACCCTTCCTCATACCTTCCAGTACATCTCCAAGCAATGCAGTGAGTACACCCTCACTCCTGCTTTCAGACCAGGGGGCCAAAAGCAAGCTCAGAAGTATAAATCTGACTTTTCTCCTCTTCCTGGATAAACAGACACAATGCAAAGGTACAATCAAAGGTTTTACAGGCCTCTGGGCAGGGCCTCAGTGTACCTGAATCAATGCCCCATTTAGAAAGGTGCTTCACTTAATTTGACAAGAACATGGAGGCTGCTGTTGCAAAGACCTGATGGAGGTCCAGAATGGAAGAGGTGGACTTTCTCTGGGCACCGTCCCCTGCTGGCTGCCATGATAGGCACCCTGGGTGTGGACAGTCTTGAGCTGGTGTGCGGTGTGTGGAATACCTTCCAGGAACATTTGCGATGTGGACTGGGGGAGGTCTTGTGTCAGGGGTTTGCACTTGAGGCTAAAAGCGTGGTATCTGGTAGCAGGATACCACTCCCTTGTGCCAGCCTTACCTCTGGTGCATGATGTAGGTGATAACGGAGGCAAGGAGGCACAGCAGCATGACCGCAGTGCATGCATACACCACAGGGTGCAGGAACTCCCCTGGGTACTGGGGCAGGGAGAGGACAGTCTTCAAATCCTAGAAAGGAAGCAGAGACCGGGGGTGACTGTGTAGCCAAGGGTCTATACACACAGCCAGTTACCCTAGTTCTCACCTTCAGGTTCAGCCTCCCTACTCCGAGTGGCTCAAGGTACTTTCTGACTTGAGCTTTGCTTTGTCAATCACTCAGTAGGGCAGACTGGTGGCTGAGAAAGACCCTGGTCAATGGGTGCTCACAGAGGGGGTCTGCAGCGAGCCAGTCACCTGCACAGGGTTGGTCTTTTCCTCTCCTAGGTCTGCTCAGCCAAGAGTGTCTATATGTGGCTTTGAAAGCAGCTCCCAGAGGGAGGTAGCATTTCTGTAGTGCCAGACGCCTGGCTCTACCTCCCTTTCTGTCAAATGCTGCTGGCAGAGGGCAGGGCGCAGCACTGGCTTCTGATACGTACTTGTCTGTTGGCAGCACGCCTGCTCGGGTGTCTGGATGGGGCCTCCGGAAAGGCAGTGAAACATCAAATTTCCCCAACCCACTTCTGAACCTCATACCCCTTGACATTCTGCTTTTAAATGTCTCCCAGGGGGATTGTGTATCACATTTTAGCAGATCTGAGTGCTGTTGACTCAAGCTGATGGAGAAAGAGAAATTGTTATAAAAAATAGACATAGGACTGAGGACCTTGCTCTCATTTCTGATATCCCCAACCCCATTGTGCATCACAGCCAAAGTAAAGGGTTCAAGGTCCTGGTTCAAAGGAGAGCATGTTTTCTCTGTGGAAGAGGAAAACTGAATGTCTCAGTTGAATAATGTTAGAGCTGCTGGAGATTTGCCCCCTGTGGGCCCCGTGGGGTGGTGCCCTCATCCTCATGCTTCAAGCAGAGGGCCAAGTCTCTGGTCCCACAGTCCTAGGGAGATGTCTTAGTCAGGTGGGATGTTAGGGATTGCTGCTCCCCAATCCTTTAGTCTCTGGACCATGGATAGTGCAGGGCAGGAGGGGCAGGAGTGGACCTAAGCAGAGCATAAATGACTGGATGACATGGGGCTTCAGGACTCCAGGTGCCTTGTAGCCCATCTTATCATCAGATCATAAGCTCATGATGGAGCTACCAGCTGCAAGGTATCAGGGTACCATGGTTTGAAGCAACCTCTTCAGTAGATCTCAAGGCCAGCCTGCTCCTGATTGACCAGTAGTCTGGCCATCCTTAGCCTGAGGCACTGGGAAGGCCCTCTGGCCTGGATCCCTGAAGTCTGGTTCTACTTAGGAGGGAAGCCCTGTCCTGGCCTTCGTCTCTTCACCCCAGGGCACTTCCTCCAGGAGTGTGGGCAGTGCCCCCTGCCTCTGAGGGGTTTTGAGAAGGTAAGGCTGCCTGGAGATCCCTGCCCTTGCCCCCTCCACCTTTGTAAAGAGGACAGTCCCAGACCCCAAAGTATCAGATGCCTCCTGCTGCAGGGTGGGCTCAGGGCCCCATCCAGGGGCACCTAAGTGGCTGCTTCCTCCTGGACACTTGACCTGCAGAGGTAGCTCTCACAAATCTTTCCTCAGCGCCCACCTTCTGGCATATTTGGCATCTGGTGATGGGGGCCCCTTCTGTGGCCTTCTGAGTGTGAAAGTCATTATTCTGTGTCTGTCGTGGTTCAGTCACTTGTTGGCAAATGGAAATAATTCCAGAAGTTATAGGAAAGCATGTTTCCTGGTGCAGTCCTGACATGAAGTTATCTGACAAATTCTGTGTTTCTGAGAGGTGGGAAAGCCCTAAGGCACTTTTAAGACTTGAAGTTCAAACTGGGCATAAGTGGTGTCCCCAGATTCTTGTACACGTGGGTCTTTTCATGGGAGTCAGTAGCTTTCCGCCCATGACACTGACCCACCTTGGCCACTGTTATAACTACTTTCAGATATATGTGAGAGGGTTTTCCAGTGTTGTGTGCTCCTTGAATCCAGTTCAAGGAATGTGGGCAGCCAACACTTGCCAGGAGGAGCCTTTGAGCAACAACGGGCACCTGTGGGGCGGGGAGAAGTAGTGGGACTGTTTCACCAGGGTTGTGTCTGCTCTTCCTTCCTGGACACCAAGCACCCAGACTCATGACTCAGCTCAGCTTTGCAGTATGCTCTGATGCTACCAGGACGTTTCCTCTATGGTCACCCAGAACCAGGACTTTGCACCAATCCTGAAGGGCCCAGGGCTCCCAAGTCCTCCACAGGCTTCCTCGGGGCCACTGTCACTGTGGAGCGAATACCTTCTGGGTTGGCCTTTTGGTTAGTTTCAGATTCCTGTCCTGTTGGGGGAGGGACCTGGGGGGCAGGATGGTCATGGTGGGTGGATGGCTTAGCTTGTACAACCAAAGCAGTACTTGAAATGTCCCTGATGTCCTTTGTCTGAGAACTGTATCCCATCACATCTGTCCCCAGGGCCTACATAGAAGAGAGCTTGCATTTGGAAGCATCTTATCTGTAGGTTTTAAATAGCATAACAAAGCACCTTCCTGGAAGCCAAAGGAAAAGTCAAAACAGTGCCTCATGCAACAGGCACACCTGTGCAACATGCAGACCTCTCAAGGAGCCAGTGTAGGAGGCAGAGGTGTGAGAAATGCCACGTAGCTGGGTTATGCAGGAGGCTGGACTTGAAGGCTGCATCTGCTTAGGGGAGGGGACTTGATTCTTGTCTGAAGGCCCAGTTTTGAGGTGAGCGTCCATAAGTCTGAGAAGCCAGGGAGGGGCGCATCACCATCACCTATGTGAGGACATTTCTGTGACTATGGACAAGATGCCTTGGGGGTCAGCAATGAGCTTTGTAAGAAACAGGGATTTGATTTGGTTTCTTATTTTTTCTTTCTCCAAATTACAGTTATCAGCAGTGACTTTCTACATTTTTAGAGGTGACATTTAAAATTCAAAGTAGGTAATGCAAAATAGAGATATATTTTATATTTTAAAGTTCACACATGGGCAAGTTCCTCTCGGAAGAGTCTACCGTGCAAATGTTCCTCAGGCAAAATTATGATGATGATCTAGTATGTGGTTAGACAGAATCTTCCTGATGGGTGGACAAGTCCCTCTGAGGCTGTGAAACCACAGCACTCTTTGGAGCAGCAACAGTAAATGAGCATGGCTCTAGGTCAGATGACTGGGGAAACAGCCAGAGCATCCTCAGGGGTAGGACAAAGGCCAGAGGCTGGGACGCTGCTCCTTTCTGTGCATACAGGAGGGCCTGGTTGCAGAAGCCACTTTGGAAAGTCCTCCTCTCTCTTGGGAAATGTGGATGTCCCCTTTTCTGTGGGCTGGCCTTATAGCTAATAGTCCCACTAGCATCCTGGCCCCGACAGGCAGCAATTTGTATTCTCTCCCCTTCTTGAATCATGGCTTCCTTTTACATTTTTCTCTTATTTTGGTTGGATGTACCCTTTTTTGGTGTTTTCTGCAAATTGAATCAGGTGTTCAGGAGGACAAAAAGGCGGAGAGATGGGAAGAAAGTGGTCAAACAGTGATGTATCAATTGTTTGATAAAAATGCTGCCCTTTTGTGACAGCGAGATGTGGGAAAGTGCCCTCTTCAAATGCCACTGTCTGAAGTCACACTCCATCCTGCAGTGAGGGGTCCATTGGCCAGCCTTGCTGGCTCCAGCTGAGGCATTAACTGGGTTTTCCCTGGTTCTTCTTCCTGGTTCTGTGCCAACTCAGGTTGATTTAATTACAGCCTTATGCATTTCCTTGTCTGTCTTTTTAATGATAATTGCATTTTATTGATCTAGCAACCTTTCATGAAAGTGTTTGGGGGAAAGGCAGAAGATAAATAATTTCTCATTTGAGAAACAAATTACTCTAATTGGACATTACATAAATATAGTTTGTTCTGGTTCTCTTTTTGAAGGGGTACATAGGCTAGAGAAATTATAAAGAGATTTGGAGAGAAACATGTTAAAATATCAGACAGACTTCTAGACTGGAAGTTACTTGCTTAAATTTCATAATTTAAGGGAAAATGTTGGGTGGGACAACAAACTCCATCTTTGAGATAAAGGTAAATTTAGAAGTTTTTAGTAATTTAGATATTAGACTGAATAAAAATCAACAGACTGAAAATTTGTTAAATGTTCTGAAACGTTTGTAATTGTGACATACAATCTTTTGTGGGCCTCTATGAAGGCCCATAAATCAGCACATGAGGGTCACACATTTTCTAACAGTGTAGATCTGTGACTGTCTTACCCCCTTTCTTTGTCCAGGTCCTGATTCTGGTCCTTCCAAAACTGACCTCACATGGGTGTCTCCTGTGCTCCCAGCCTTTCTGACTCACATTTTGGGGTGCTGCAGGGAAATGGCTCTTCCCTCTGGCTTGCCTGCATCCTATGGAGCTATAGTTCTGGGGTCAGAGGTCTCCACCCTCCATCTATCTGCCTGGTCCCTATGGGGTCTTAATCCCATCTGTTTTTTTAAATGGGGGGCATTGATGTGTGTAAAGGGAAATAATAGCCACAAGGGTACTTTAATGCACTGTGTACTGGGGTTCTCCACTACCCCAGGCAGCTGGACCAGGCCTGGCTTCTGACTCTCCTTGCCTTGGGCCCTCTGAACAATGTGGCAAAAACCATTCCACTGTCAGTAAGGTCAACCCTGAATCCAGAGCAAGTGGAGATCCGGCAAGTTGTCTGGGCTTCCAAGCCCTGCTGCTGGAAGTTAACACACCAAAGCAAAGCCGCTAAAATCCAGACATGGTGCCCCAGCACTGGCAAAACACTAGAGGGTCGGGAGGCACATCTGATCAGCCTGACTCAAATCTGCAACTACCAGGAATAAGTAGTGCCAGGAGGCTACCACACCACCCTACAGGCACCATCTTACATACACTATATTACCTCACACCATCCAATATATACCATCCTATACCACATCATATACCACACTGTGTATGCCATCCTAAATGCACCATTCCACATATGCTATCCTACATATACTACCTCATCCTACATCATGCCAAACTCTACCATCTCATTTCACACTAACCTATGCCACACCATTCTATACCACAGCAATTTATACTACATCTTTCTACATATAATATCCTACACACACCACATTATTCCACACTGTTCCACACTCCAACATCTATTCCACCCCGTGGTATACCATGGTATACCATCTCGCACCACACTACCCTATATCATCTTATACCATCTCATATTGTACCACACTATTTGATCCCACACCACACTATATCACACATATACAACACACCATCCCACTCCACATCATCTTTCATCACACCATCCCACACCACACCATCCTACGCCACATCAAACCACACCACATCATCCTGCACTAGCCTACATGCCATCCTGCACCCCCCCCACTATTTCGCACCCATCACACTATCTATTCTATTTAATTCTTAACACCAAGAAGACCAGACCTGTGTGTGTAAAAGGTTCCTTCTTCAGTTCACCAGACTCAGAAATTCTCAAGAAAGTGGAAAGAAAAAAAAAAATACCAAGACCTGAATAATTTTTACTGTAATTCACAGTAAAAATTCACATTTTCACAGGAAATTCACATTTCCTTCCCTTTAAGTACACACTTTCTTGGAGCTAAGTATGAGGATTACAGATGACAGAGTACAAAATCATATGTATCTCAGTGTCTGCTGGATTTAAACAATAACAGCACATATTGCAGAAACAAGCTAGACTGTGTCTGCTTTGTTTATCATCAACTGTGAGGCAGATGTACCACTCATGGGTGGAGGTGCCCTTGGCCTCACATATCCGATGTGAGTCCTGTAGGACATGGCCACTCTGGAGAGGAGTGACTCACTGTCCCATTGGAGGGCAAAGAGCCAGATAGGAGCACAGCCAGGGAAAGGAGCATGCCCAGGGAGTGGAACATGGCACAGCCGCAGGCTTGTTGGAAGAGGCTCAGAATCCAGCACTGTTGTGTTCAGAAGAACATGAGCTACAGCTTGCAATGGGGAGCTGAGCAGGCTGCTTGCTTCTGGACAGATGTCAGGGACGTTCCAGTGGACATCATGCTGGTGACCATGATGCATTAGCTGAGGTTGAGCAGGGCCAGGACCACCTTACCCTTCCTTGTCCCTGGGCTTAGGTGCGCTTGCCCAAGCATCTGCAGCACAGTCTCCAGACATTCAGAAAGTAGGTGCCCCAGAATCATGCAACCCCACATATTTTCTGTGCTTTTCAGACATTCTCACAAGGAAAATGTTAATGTAAATGTTATTTATTAAGAATAATAGCCCAACACATTGCTGAAATTCCACATTCTGCAGGTGCAGCTGACTGGCCATCTTTACCGTGTGAGGCAGGAGGTGCCTTGATGGGCAGCATAGAGCTGGTTGGACCAGGCAGGCCCTGGTGTAGAAGAAAGATTTCCACGGGGCTGTGAGGGACCAAGGTGGGTCCCCTGCGTGGACTGACTGACAGGGAGAGGCGAAGGTGGTGCTCTTCCTGGATGGGAGCCTATGCATAGGAGATTATCTGAAGGTTCTCTAGGCTGGAGACAGGTGTGTCTGAGCCAGGATCCTGGACCCCACTCCACCCCCACTGAAGGTCCCAAGAGGTGGTGTTATGGCTGCTCTTGCCTCCTAAAGAACTTTCAGTTGGCCTGTTACCTGCCAAGGGCTGATTTCCATTTTGAAAACATACTAAATTTGAAGACAGAAAGCCACGGATAATGCCAACAGAAGGCTGGTGGCCATGTTGGGTGGGGCATCTGGAGACAACAGTGAAAGAGCCCCAGGGCCAGCCTGCTGTCCTCAGACAGCTGCCTGGGTCTTGTCCAGTAACCTTGTCAGATATCTGAGAGGGAGGCTGTTGATGGCCTTCAGCCTCAGAGCTCAGAGCAGCAGTATAAGGTGATGCTGGATTTTGGCAGAAAGCATCTCTCATTTGGACATTCTGACTCCAGCAAGAAGAAAATGCAATAGTGACTCAGACAGAACGCTGCCTCATGAGGCAGACACTCTGGCCTGTACTGAGGTGCTCGTGCAGCGTCTGGGCCGCGAAGGCGCTGTCCTAACAGGCCATCAGCATTCTCTGCACGTGCCCCTGTCAGCTGTCCCTTACAAACACACACAATGCATTATTTACTCTCCTGTCCACCTTCCCACAGTCCGGACTGGTAGCAACCACAATAAAACCATGCAGGAGCCTTTGGAATGGGCCCCCACTAAGCCCCGGACACTGCTTCAGCCAGCTGACCACATCATACCTTTTATTTCCCCCTCCCAATCACTGCCTTGACTACTGAAGCCCACTGACTTTCTGCTAGGCAGGGGCAATGGGACAGGCCTTGCAACCTGGCCAAGGGGCACCAAATAGAAGGGATCCCAGCTCGGGGCCAGACAAGGCTCCCTGGAACATGGAGGCAAGTCCTGGGAATGGACGCCATCCTCTTGATTAAATGATTCCACACTGCCGTACGGCTGCAGCTAATTAGTATGAACAGCACTGAGTGAACCAGCAAGCGAAAGGAACCCGCACAGGCAGCCCGAGACCCAAGCCCTGTCACGTCTTGCTTTTCCCTGCTCTGCCCCATGGACCTTCTCCACCCCAGGAGTGAGTTTGTGCCAGACTACTGCTAACTGACTAACCACGACTTATTTTCTGGCCTGGGTCTTCTCCAACAGGGGTGACAGCCCTTGGCCTGGCCGGCTGGCTGGCAGATCTGCACTGAGCTGGGAGTACTCACCATGAGCCCTGCAGAGTTACTGAGGTGAGAGCACCGGTGGGGGCGGTGTGGCCCACAGAGACGATTATGTCGCGCCCTTCTCCCCACCAGGCTCCATGGCCATCCAGAAGGTCAAAGTTCCAAACAGCAGCTATAAGTCAAGCTCCAAGGCAGTGTGCCTCAGGGTGACCCTGATGGGCCGGGTGAGGGTCCATAAGCTGCACTCATCTGCAAAGACAGCACTTGGTCAGAGGCACAGGCAGAGAGGGCCCTTCTCCTGTCTAGCTTGAGGTCTCCCATGCCTGTTATAGGTCAACACCTGGGTGCTGGCAGGCCAGGGAGCAGCCAGCATCTTCTGAAGTTTCCCCCTCTCAGCTCCTCTAGACCTGGGCCAGCCTGTTGGAGTGGCTGGCTCAGGCTGTGCTTGTGATATTCAGGGGATCCAGGTGACAGACTGGGGCTTGTGAACCTCAGGGACTTCAGAGGGACATGCTAGCAGCCAGACACTACCCTCTTGGGCAACCTTTCCTCTCCTTATTTAAAAATCAATCTGTGCTCACCATCCCAGTACAAGAACTAAACTCAATCATTTCGGGCTGCCCAAAGCCAAATAAACATGTCTGTCAGTTTAAATCAAGAGAATTAAATAAACCTAAATTAATCTCCCAGCACACAGCCTGACCTGGCAGGCAGAACCCTTTGCTGCTTATCGTGGCCAGACTCGGAGGCTGGCGTCTTCACACGGATGCTCGTGCCTGTGCTGGAAGCTGCTTGGCTTTGGCTGTGGTTCTGTGCCTCCCCTTCATTCAAAGTTATTCAGAATCTGCTTCCCAGTATCAGGAGTTGTCTCATCTCTGGGCTGGCATGTTTGCCTGAGAAGCAGCGCTGGTGAGTAGACACCGCAACCAGCAGCTCAACCTTTGCCTTCCCACGCTCGTCCCACTGTCTCCCTGCCCCAAAGACCCTGCACCCCCAGACCCCAGAAGGAAAGCCCAACTTCTCACCTATTTTGGCAAAAACAGCTGGAGAGGCACCAATCTTGTGCTTCCTGTCACTGGTGCATTGTGGCGGGTTCCTTGTGTCGGCAGGGAACAGCTTTCCATCACAAGAGGCATTGGACTGGAGCTCCAAAGTGGAGTTATCAACAGATTGCAGGGCTGCAGCCTGGCGACAGGCTGTGGCCAGTGCACAGCGGCAGCGATAGTGCTCTGCACTGGAGAGAATGAGTCAGAGGCGGGGAGAGCGGGCACTCAATGCGAGCTCAGCGGGCAGCTTCCAGGATTCTGCTGGGGGATGCCAGCCGCCTTCGCCCGTCTTCTGTGGCGGCAGCTAGGGATGAGGAACAGGCCGGGAAGCAGGAGCCGTAACCATGGGGACTGGGGGAGGCACGGATGGCGGCAGCAGTGGCCGGGCTCCCTGCGGCAGGGTGGGAATGGTTCTTCCCAGCCAGCCCGGCCAGCCGCCTGTCACACTGCAGAGCCGATTTAAAGAGACAACCGACCAGGGTTTGCCGCTCGCTTCCAACAGATTCAGACAACTCACATTAAAGCATTTCCCTGAAAGGAGGACAGGATGATGTTATTTCATTTTTAAAGATAGTCCTTGTCTGTTGAGGGCTTCAAGAACAGAAATCTGAAAAAGGAAATTGATTTTGGAACAATTTTCATAATCCTTATATTACAATATTGTCAAATTCAAATACGGCAAAACTGAGGTAAAGTCTGCTGAATCCATCCCAGCGTGAGTCAGCAGGGCTGGTCTTTCCATGTGGACAGGGTCTGGCTGGGCAGGGAGCATCCCACATCTGGGGCACCCTCTCCTGCAGCTTGGGTGACACAACAGGGCACTGCGGAAGAAGGTCATGACAGAGAATGCCAGCTCGTCCCACCCGCAGTGGGCAGCTTTGCCTAGGCTGCCTGAGATGTGGGTCTGGGTTGGCTAGGGACTCTTCACAAGGTTAATGCCCCTTGGGTGGTGCCAGGATCAAGGTCTGCCAAACATGATTTGGACCTGCCCAGTCAGGGAACCGATACCTTCTTTCCCGTTCCTTGGTCTTCACTCTGCAGGGACTTCATTCCCCTGAATGTTTAGATGCTGGCATCTGCTCCAAGGATCCTCAGTTCCCTGCCATGCTGGATTTTGAGGGTCCTGAAGCTGGAACTCCTAGCAGGGTAGGTGTTGCCAATACGAATCACAAAGGTAGAATCAGAGTGGTGCTACAGCTCCAGCTTCCACAGCTTCTGGGCATGCTGCTTCTGATCAGGGTACGGCTGGGTGCCCTTCATCCCAGGGTACTCCTGGTGCCCCTATGGGGATGCAGCAATGAACCATGAACTTCACTGGAGGGAACCTAGGGGGGTTTTTCTCCTCCAGGTTTCTGTAAGTCATGGAGGCCTTGAGGTATCCTGACTTTTCAGGATGGCCCCAAGGGATTGGAAGGAAGCCAGGAGCACCCTGGTGTCACTTGGGCAGTGGTCTGAGAGAAAGGGGAAGGGAGAAGGGCGAGGATGGACCCCAGACTAGGGAGGTCTGTTTGACACCTGTGCCCCTCACATTTCCATGGAGGTGACCCAGGTGTGTGGTGCAAGGGTCAACACAGGCCACCCCTCTCCCCCTCAAGGGGCTCCCACGCCATCCTGGTGTGGTCTAGAGCCCCAGAGGTGGTCAGAGGAGGCCCTGGCTACCCGGCTTTCATGCCTGGCTCTGGTGCCCGGCTCTCTGCACAGTTTGCATGCTGTCCCCAAACTTCCTCACAGAGAAGCGGGAGCCGGGGTGGGCCGTGGCTTCAGAGTAAGAGGGTTTGAGTTGAACCTGATTCAAAGCCTGGGGCTCAGGCTTCATGGGAGCTGGGTGTTGGACCACGTAGCTCTGCCCACTCATAGCTGTCTCAACCCCCTCTGTGGCCACCCCGCTTCCTAATCCTTAGAGCGCCTACTCCAGACCTACTCTGGGGTGGTGCTGGGGGCAGGGATGCTGTCATGCTCCACATGGTTCACCATACTCTGAACTTGAAGCAGAGAAGCACCCGTGTGGGAGGGGAACTGAGGCACAGAGCAGTCGTGTGCTTTGCCAGTCACCCACCCTGCCATTTGCTTCTGCCCTGGGAGCTGCCTGGTCATTAGTGCTGGACCACAGATGAACCTTTCTTGGGAGCTCAGTTGGCTCTGTGGCTGTTTTGTGACCTCAGGGAAACTTTGAGACTGAGGCCTTCTTTCTCTCAACACAGTGGCGGCCGGAAGTCACGGTCCTGTGCCTCAGTGAGGTGGTGTCTGGGGAAGTGTTTGCCACTAGGCCTGCCTGCAGCCTTTGCAGAGCCCTGGGATGTCTGCACTCGCCCCGTCCCAAGGTGACCAGGTGGCAGTTCCCAGCCCTGAGCTCTTCCTCATGCTGTTCCTCAGTGAGGCCTCTGTCTTGTGGCCTCACAGATTGCCATGGGACACAGTCCCACCATTATGTTCACTTTTCCTAGTTTTTGCCAAAAAAAAAAAATGTACCTACTTGGTGTCAAAGAGGTACATGGCTAAGAACACATGCAGACCAGCTTTGTTTTTTAACTGGCCGAAAGAGGAAAGAAAAAATAAAAAGGACAAAACCAGGACAACAGCAATCAAGTAAATCAAAACTTAAGACCATTTTAAACATATGCCAATAAGGATTCTTGTTGAGGAAAAGATAAAATTCCTAGGTGAGGAAAAGCTATCTTCTACCCTTGCATGTAGTCCTCACTCAAGGCAAATTTGTCTGAAAATTGCTTAAAAAGATCTCAGCCTGGTCCCAGCAGAGACACAGAGGAGAGGTATCTACATTTGCATCAAAAACAGTTGCATGGAGGAAGAGGTTTGTTGCATGGAGTTGACTCACGCAATGTTTGACAGGACAGAAGTCTCAGGTGTGTGCTGATGCAGTCATCCATGGTAGGATGCTGTCTTTGTCCTGGAGGCCTCGGCTCTGGATGTCAGGCCAACTACCCAGTTGTCCAGGGTAATCTCCTTTACCTAGGATATGAACAGTCAACTGGTTGCTGATGTTAATTAGGTTTATAAATCTCCTTCTCAGCAATACCTCGATTTGTGTTTGTTTGAAAAATGGAGGGCAGTATCTCCATTACCTGCAGCATTTTTGGGCAGCTTTTTTGGGCAGCGCTCCACACTGAAGTGTAGGTGACCAATCAGAAGTGGGCATGGCTGGGTGCTGATGAAGAGCAATCTACAGGCACCAAGTATTGAATTTCACATAGTTTTCATGTGCAATGAAACATTAGTTTTCTGAAATTTCTCAACAATTTAAAACTGTAAGAATATCCTGCTCATAGGCTGTATGTGAACAGGTGGTGGCTATGTTGCTTCTGAGGCCATTGTCCCCATCCCTGCTGCAGAAGGCCTTGTTGAGCGAGGACTCAGAAGAGCTTACAGTGGAGGTGGAACCACAGCACCACTCAAGCCACTTTCTGGTTTTTGGTTTTTTGGTTTTTTTGGTTTTTTCTCCGGTACCGGGAACCGAACTCATGACCTTGCGCTTGCCAGGCAGGCGCTTTTGCCGCTGAGCTAAATCCCCAGCACCTTCAAACCACTTTCTGGTAGAAATCCTAACGCATCAAAGACTGATAACCTTCAAAAGAAGCATTTATGAGCCTCAACCCAACAGCACTGAGAGCTCAGTTTTGAAACTATGGCTCTTGTATGTTGTACATTTGTAGTTTAATCAGCATCAAAGATGCATTTTTCCCTCAGTTTATAGGCTTCTCCAGCAGATGTATGGTACATGGCTTCCCATAGCTGTCAGTCCCTGTTCTCCTTTCCAGAAATCTCAGCTTGTTGGATGTCCTGTGAGAGATACACCAGACAGTCTCATTGCAGGGTAGGTAACTCTAGCTTCCTCTTGGCCAAATTTGTGGCCTCCCCAGTAGCCTGTGAATCTTTGAATCTGATGTAAAACCCCTTGACAGGAAGACATGGAGTGGCTTGTTAGATATTGCTGCTTTCTGCCAAGGGTGGCTAGGAGAGCCTGTGGAGCCTCCGGTAGGGCTTGCTGCAGTGGGTACTCCTTCCTTAGGGATAAACCCCAGGTGGAGCCAAGCTTGGAAGGAGTAGGCCAAGGTGCCTGCAGTGGCTAAGGGCCCAGAGCCTGGGGCCGAGGGGGGCCTTGCTTCCCTCTGTATCTCATGGCTTCCAGAGTTTGCAGACTGTTTATGGGAGAACAGGACACAGGACACAGACAAGCAACAAAGTGGCCTTAGGACAGTGCTGCGTGCAAGATTAAGGCAATAGAAGATCTCACTGATGTTTGAGGGCACTCAGGACACTGACTGAGTCGTGTTCCCTTTCCTGGAGGGTCGAAGGCTACTGAGGACACAGTGCTTACGAGAAACACTACAGCTCTGGAATAAGGATGGCCTCAGGCGTAGCTGCTGTCCTTGCCAGATGGACCTCTTTCCTGGACACTACAGAGTCTCTGCAGCTGCTTGCTTTCCAGCCATTTCTTGGAGACTGAGAGCCTGAATCAGAAGCCCCAAAGACTGGAAATGGTGGCTTCTGAGGCATGCAGCCTGGCTCTGGAGAGCTTGGGACCCATGACCACCAGCCGCCCCATGTGTATGGCAGCTATGTTTTACAGAGTGGAATTAAAAATGGCTCTTCAGTTGCTGTGGAAACCAACAGCCCCCACCCCCTGCATCAGTCTGAATTTGTGCCAACCATTTCTGACAGATTTAAGCCAACAAACTTGTTCTTGCCCCGAGGGGAAGCCAGGTTTGAGAACCAAATAATAAAATTAATAATCTTAAAGTATTCTAATGCTGCTGTTCCTTTAATATAGCACTCACTGGAGCCCTGAGAGAGCTTAGGGTGAGTCTCGCCTCTGTCTACAGCCACATGGAGGCTGCTGAGTGATTTTATGCAGCTCCTGCTGACCACTGTTTGTAATAAACAGGAACCTTCTGGGTTCTTAGGTGAGCTCCAACTCTGAAGAGCATCCATTGCACAGCTCTGTGTTCAGGCAAATCTAGGTGACCTCTCAGCCGGGTGTGGGTCCCTATCATGTTAGGACTCCAGGTAAAGAGCGATCAGGCTCCACTGTTCTGGATCAAGCTGTGGGAATTCTCCAACCACAGGGTCAGGCTTGGTGAGAGGACCCCTTGTCCTCTGCCTCTGAGGCCCCAGGCCAAAGTCACTGTGGTCTGGCCAGCTGCCACATCCTGGGCTTCAGATCCTTTCCTTTCTTTAAGAAGGCACAAAGGCCCTTCTTTTCCTTCGCTGGATCCTCAGGTTGTGGAATGTATGGAGGGGATAGGCAGGATGAAAGAACTATATCAACATGGGTATTCCATCAAGAGACCCTACCCCTCATGCCATGTTGACAGAGGCCCCAGAAGAGGTACCCATGGCTCCTGCCCACCCTGCTAGTTCCATCATGGATTATTGAGCCATACAGCCCCCTTGCCCACTAAACCCACCCAAGATCCAGATAGAGCAAGCCTGGGACCCTGCTGAGAAGCAGGTGGGAAAAGTTCGGTGTGTGGGGGATTTATGCTCATTATGTAGGCACTGGAGTGCTATGGCAGGAGCCTAGGGGCAGAGAAGGAGTCATAGGTTTGTGATCAGTTGTCATAGTAATGTGGGATGTGCTATACCTTTATGCCTTTGGCCTTCTTTAACCTATTGTTGTAGGTCTTGACACCTCTCCATGGTGCAGACAGCAGCAACTGCCACCTGCAGTGCCACACAGTGGACACATCAGCTCCAGCTCCACCCTGCTTGTCAGAAGAACGCCACAGCAGAGATCCCCAAGCCCCTGTTAGTGATAAGAATCCAGCTCCCACTGGCCAGTAACCTCGAGGCACTAACAAACATGCAGTCTGAACCCCAGCTGTTTTCCCCAAATCCAGACAGCCCTGGACGTGCCAATGGGTGGCCCTGGAGAACATGATACCACTACATAGAATCAGGGCTCTGCAGACCAAGGGGGGCCACCAGTGGTGCTTGTTAGAGAATGCACACCACAAATGCAGGTGGGGTACAGCTTGCCACACTGGGCAGGCTCACCTGTCTTCAAAACACATCATCACTGGTACCTCCCAGGGCTGAATCATACCCTGAACACCTCACCACAGGCAAGAGGCAAGGAAGCTCTTATGAACTCTGCTGCAGAAGACTTCATGTGCAACATGGAATTTTAGTGAGGGCTAATCACTGTGAGAGATAAGCAATACACAAAAGAGATGCACTGACTAGTTTAGTAGCCAACATTCCTATCTCCCTATAATGACCCATGACATCAGCTGGCAAAGCACACAGGCACCAGGGGAAGGCTTTGCAGAGATAGGAGGCACAGTGAAATTCTCCAGTTTCATGCAGATAATTTCTTCTGGACTCAGGAGTTAATATGGGTCTTTGGGAACATTTGTAAACATGGAGCTTTTACAACCAGATCTGCAGGAACTTTCCTGCATCAAAGCAGTGCTTCCCCTCCTGCTGGCTTTGGGCTGCCTGTCTTGATCTCAAATGTGGATAAAGACAGAACAGAAACATCAATTAACCAGACAGTTTTATATTTTAGGGATCTTTCCAATTTCTAGGCCAAGAAAATCAACCAGCTGACCTGATTTTTATGAAAAGATTCAGCCTGGTGAGATGTGAGCCAGTGTCATGGTGTCCTGGCACCCTCTGGGATAGACTTCATCTTTGGGTTACTCCCAGGAGTGGAGATGGCTGTGGGGTCTTGCTGGGTCCTCTCCCTGCTCTGTCAGAAATGGGATGTCACCTTGTGCAGTGGACAGGGATGTTATTCTTGGGAAGTGGACATAGAGAGGATGAATTCAAGGAGAACTAGGCTCCTGGCCACACTCTACACCTGAGTGCCATGCTCAAGCCAAAAGTAGGCCCAGTGGGAATGAGGAAGGTAACTGAAGAATCCTGCCCCTTCTAACTACTAACCTTCTCACCTTCCTGCAGCCCATTCACCCACTCCCCTCACCATCCCCCCCGATTGTTCATCTAATGCCTTTCCTCATCACTCATGAGCCATCCAGTGTGTCTGAGGGTCAGGCCTGGATTCAGATCACAGGGCCATTTGATCTGGGACAGTGTGAACAGTGCCGGAACAGCCAGTTCTTGAGGACCAGATTGCCTGGACAGCTCCTTTATGGGTATAAACCTGCCTGGCCAGTTCTTCCCTGAGTATTAATCTGCTTGGACAACTTCCAGGACCAGGCTTCTCAGGAGCTGTCCCTGGTGCTACTGAGAACAATTGCAGGGCTGAGGTGCTTCTGCCCAATTCCACCTCCACTTTTGCTGGAGAGGCTTCTGTCCAGATCCCAGCCCGGGTCCTGCTGCCTGCACCTGCCTGGGCTGGCCCATCTGATGAGCCCTGGTGGCATGACCTTGCTAGCTGCCTGCCCCTTGGCAATGGCCTACCTGCCCTGCTTGCCTTCTGCCCAGTCTTCTGGCAATTAAAACAATTTTATCAAATTAGATGTGGTAGAAAGGAAGTCATTTCACCTGGTAATTTTGTTAAAATAATTATTTGTTTAAAGATTAATGTTACCAAGTCACTGGTTTTTCTAGCATTAGCAATTTTGCCACACCGCAGGATGGTTTCTGCTTCTTCACATCTTAAAACATTTCTCTTTCTCCATCCAAAATGTCTTTAAAAAAAAAATCTTTGAGCCTAAAAATAATCTTTTTATTTTTAAATTTGTAATAATTTTTTAGTCAGTTATTCCTGCTTTGAGCCTATAGTAAGAGAGGAAATTTGAAACAACCTACGTATCTAACAATAGGGGGTGGGTTGGAGTAACTGACACATCCACCCCCTGGCCACTGGTCAGCCTGTCAGGGAGAGTAGGTAAGCTGCTGGTATCAGTCCTTATGTACCCAAGCACCATCATGTGCTAAGTGTGTGAGTGTGCACTAGTGCATGCAAATGTGTCTGAGTGTATGTGCAAGCATGTATGTGTGAGTGTGCATGTGTGTAAATGTTCACAAATGTGAGAATGTGTATATGTGTGGGTGAGTGTGAATGTGTGGGCGGGATCTGAGCCCAGACAGGGCTAACCATACTGGATGTGCAGGGTAGTAAGTACTCATTACCTTATTATTTTGTCTTCCTATTTTCAGGTATGATTTTCTTCACTGCATTTGTTTTATTGTTAAAAACTCAATAAAACCACTTCAAAGAATTCAAAATGAAAATTTTATACTTGTGCTATTTAGGTTTTTTCCAATGATTTATTTTTGTTATTTGGTTTGTTCCAACCTCTGCCTACATACAAAGCAAGGCAAAACAAACAAAAAACCCTGAAAATTCCAAACAAAAAAATCAAGAAGTAAGGGAAAAAAGCAAACATTATGATAAACAGAAGCAAAAGTAGAACTTCTTCTTTTTTATTTTAAAGAGAGTAGTAAAAGAAAGAAAAAGAACAATAGCAGCATGCCAACATCACAAACATAAACAAAACGAAGCAAGAACATTAAAAATGATACAGGGTTTCAAAAGAAAATGAGAGGAATTAACAGTGGTTGTTATATTACATATTGTTATTTTCAACTACGTTGCTCAGATTACCAGATGTAAGAATGGAAGATTGTTCAAACCATTAAAGAGAATAAAAAATAATTATTAGATAAAACAGATAATACAGAGTTTCACTATACACGATGGTAAGAATTCACCAATAATTGTTCCATCGCATATTGTTGTCTTAAAATCAGTTACTAAGATTACCAGAAATAAACATGCAAAATTGGTCAGAATATAAAAACTTTTAAGCATTAACTGTTCCTTTCAATATACTATCAGTCATCAGCAGCACAGCTATCCCAGATATATGTATATATATACACACACACATATGGCCTTCCTTCTTTCTTTTTTCTTCTTTCCCTTGTCCCAGCTGTTCCTTCCTTTGAGTAATTTCTTTCCCTTTCGTATCATCTATGTACATTTTGACTTTTACTTACTCTTTCAGGTTCCTATACCAGGCTGTGGGGAAAAAGGAACTCTACTGCACTCTTGGTGGGAGTATAGATCGGTAAGACCACTGTGGAAATCAGTTTGGAGATTCCTCACAAAACTAGGATTAGATGTCCCACTTGACCCAGCTATTCCCCTTCTGGGTATTTTCCCAGAATAATTAAAAACATCATATTGTAGTGATATGTGTGCACCCATGTTTATAGCTGGTCGGTTTGTAATAGCTAAATCGTGGAAGCAACCCAAATGCCCATCAACTGAGGAATGGATAAAAAAACATGTGGTATTTTTATACAATGGAGTATTACTCAGCTATAAAAAAGATAAACTCGAGGCTTTTGTAGGTAAATGGATGCAACTACAGACCGTACTCGTAAGTGAAAGAAATCGAACCCACATGTGTAAAAGTAGAAACTCTTGACCCCTGAGAGAGAAGCCCAACTTTCAAATGTGAGGGAAGTTTTCACACTCCAGACCTGCAGGGTGCTCCTGAAAGTAGAGACCTTCCTGCCTGGGGATGCGCTGGGGCAGGATCTGCTGGGGACGCCTGGAGAGGTGTCTGGGGTTGGGGATGACAAGATTAGCATCCTCAGTAGGAGATGTCAGAGAACAACCTGTTCCACACGTGTGCAGTCTCATGGAAGCAGGCACCCATGGGCTTCCACAGACCACTCATTCCAAACAGATAAGTCTCGGTGGAGCTGGCTTCATGGAGAACTGCAAACTTGTCTTGTAAGTTGTTACATTTTGAATTTTAGAACTTTATGAAAGCTAAAACCCTCATTAATTTCA